CTGGGACTTTGCTCTGCTCTGCTCGGTGACCCCTCCTGGGCACAGACCATGTGGAACAAGGCCCTTGGCAGGTTTGCTTTCTATGGCCTCTGTTGCATGTAATCATGCTCTTCAACACCACCTCTTTGGGGACATTTTTAGGCACCATATGCTGCACATATCCTAAGCCACATCCCCTCTGCCCTGGACCAGGCCTGCTTCTCTTCCGGTACTTCTGACCTCCACGGAGGTTCCATCACCCCCAGAAATGTGGGCCCTGTTTGGTGCAGCCGGTCCCTTGCCCCCACAGCCCATCGGTGCTTCACCATTCCTGGCCTTCCAGTCCCTTGTCTGCTGTCTTGGGCCTAGATGAGGCCATGTAGCTTCTTTACTGTCCTGCCCCCACTCGTCCCTGCAGCTCCTTTTGCACTGGGCAGTGCTCCAACTCAGACTTATGGTCACATGACACCTTCTCACTTAAAACCTTGTGTACCTTTACTAATGCAAGCCAGAATTCTGATCTAGGCTGGGGTGTTGCCTCTCCAGGCACAGGGTGCACCCTCTTGCCTATCAAGCATGTGACTGCCCTGCCTGAGCCACTAACGAGGAGGCCTTTCCCGAGCCCCAGACCGTGCCCTGCCCCTTGCAACCCTTTCTACGAATAGCCTAGCAGCACCCCTTGTGCCTCCTATAGGAGAAGATGCTAGATATCTACTGGCTACTACGCGTCTGCCTGCGGACCGTTGAGCATGGCGACCGCACAGGTTCTCTCTTTGCCTTCATGCCTGAGTTCTACTTGAGCGTGGCCATCAACAGCTACAGTGCTCTCAAGAATTATTTTGGCCCCGTGCACAGCATGGAGGAGCTCCCAGGTGACAAAGCCATTCAGGCCGGGAGGGGGCAGGAAAAGGGCCTTTATTGTAAACCCTTAGCAACCCTGTTCTGCACCCTCATGGCCCAGCAGCACACATCCGTGTAGGAAAGAGGGGAGGTAGCCCCTGTTCTCTTTGGTCCTGTGTTAGACAAGCATCTGCAAAAGCCCCACATGGTGGAGATCCCTGCCCTGGTATTAGCGGCCACAGAGCCAACAGCTTCTCCCGGATGCTAGGAAGGAAAGAGACAGGATGGAGTGCCGGAGTGGGGGCCCCTCCGCTTTCACTTCCTTCTTGCTGTGGTAAGGGAGCCGGTTGGCCTCACACAGACACCCTGGCACTGCACGTGGGATGTGGCAGCCCATGCAAAGGCAGAGCGGCTTGTGTTTGCAGATCGCAGTAAGGGGTGGTGGTACCCTGCTGGAGGCCATACGTAGGAGCTTGGGCTTCTTGCAGACCACTGATTTCAGGCTGGGTTTGGTGGTTTATGTCTGGATCAGGCTGTGGGCTGTCAGGCCCCTGGCCTGTCCCCTGCCCCGCCCCAGGGTGTGTGTAGAGATGGGTTTGAGCCCAGTCAGGACTCTTGCAGGACCCGTCCTCCCCCACAGTGAGTCTGTGCAATGGCCTCTCACAGTCAGTGAATGCCATGCCCAAAGTCCCTAGATGACAGCTTGGGCCCAGACTGGCCCTTGAAGTCAGCTCTGGAGCCCGCTGCCCAAGCCCACTCACCCTGCCAAGGGACGTGCCTGCCTCTGGAACCCCCGCTCCCGGCCAAGCACTCCTACTGCCCCATCCTGCAGGCTATGAAGAGACTCTGACACGCCTGGCTGCCATCCTTGCCAAACACTTTGCCGATACACGCATCGTGGGCACTGGTGAGGTGCCCTACAAAGGGCTTGGGGATATGGGGATGGGATGGCACTTCTGGCTGGCCGTTTTTTGCAGAATGCCGGCCAGGTGGGCTTGAGGCATGGGGGCCGGGGCTCATGCCAGCTACCTGCTGAAGCACAGCCTGTCCCAACAGACATCCGTGACTCGCTGATGCAGGCCCTGGCTAGCTACGTGTGCTACCCACACTCCCTGCGGGCTGTGGAGCGGATCCCTGAGGAGCAGTGAGTGGGGGTCGGAGCAGGGAGGCGGGCACTCTGACCTGCACAGCACCATGTCTGGCCTCACCCTGTGCCCACCACCCCTTGCCCTTGCAGGCGTATTGCCATGGTAAGGAGCCTCCTGGCTCCCTATGAGCAGAGGCCCTGGGCCCAGACCAACTGGATCCTGGTGCGACTCTGGAGGGTAAGTGTGGTTGGATGGGAAGTGGCTATGGCTGGCTGAAGGGGAGGGTTTCCCTGCCTCCCTGACCCCCACTGACCCTACCCACAGGGCTGTGGCTTTGGGTACCGCTATACACGGCTGCCGCACCTGCTGAAAACCAAGCCAGAGGACGCCAACTTGCCTAGCCTCCAGAGTGAGTGTCCAGGTTGGGTGACCCAATGGCTCTGGCCCACTGCTGTTGGTCTTCTTGGACTCTTCTCGCTTCTCCTGGCCTGTCTCCCGGACTCCTGTTGGGCCCCAGCTCTGCCCCCCGGCATTTCCATTTCCCTGCTTCCTCCCAGTCCAAGGACACTCTGGGACACCTCCCCCTTGCTCCCCTGTCCCATGTGTGTCCTTTGGGCCTGAATGCTGTGCATGGGTCATGGTGAAAAGGGGCAGCATCTTCTCAGGGTGCTGGCAGCTTACTCAGAGTGAGGACTCCGAACCAGCTCCCTGACCTCCAGCCTCGTCCTGGCACCATGTCCACCTCCCACTTCAGTGTACTTGAGTCAAGGCAGGGGCACAGACTGGGGCTTGATCAGGGCCCCAGAGGGTGCCCATGGCGTTCCCAAGAGGAAGGGGAATTTGGTTGGGGGCAGAGGTTGTACTGTCTCTCCAGGGGCCATGGACAGCCCAGCAAAGCCCTGTGAGCCTGAGGACCTTTACCTAGGCTCCTCCTGGGTCCTGGGTTTTCTGCCTTGCAGTCTGCCTGCCATACTCTGCACTCACCCCACTTGGTGGTTTTCCTAGGCCTACGTGATGTCTTTCTGCCTTCATGGGCAGGGTTTTTGCACAAAAGGTCCCCAGAGACTGAGTGCCTTGTGTGAAGTCACTCATCAAGCCCTTGCCGGTTTTCTTGGATGCACCAGCGGGTGGAACTGAGCTGCAGTTAGAGTGGCAGTGGGACTATATACTCATCCTGCTGGCTGTAGGAACTATTGATTTGCACAGGGTGGGGGGTGGTGTCCAGCCCGGCTGTGGCTTAAGGGCTCTGGTTACCGCTCCCCGTCAGCCCAGACTTGGCACCCACCACCTCGGCCATATGCCAAGGCCAGGCCAAGGGCAGCAGAGGAGAGTAGAGGACGGCAGGGCTCTGACACAGTAGGTCTCGGGGATTCTGGTCTTGAAATGAATGAGGAGAGGCCTAGGTCGCCCTGTCTGGGTCTAGCCCTCTCTGAGGGGCATGCAGCTGAGGACTTCTTTGGGGGCAGGCTATGGCTGGGGGGTTGCTCTAGGCCAAAGGGATGGTGTGGGGCCAGGAATAACTTCAGCCTGTGGCTTGCCAGCAGGAGGAGGGACAGATTTAGCCCTAACCCCCAGGCAGCACTGTACCCTGTCTTCCCTGCCTTCATGACCTGAGCATCCTCAGGGAGTCATCTTTTTGTCCTTACACCAATGGCCCAACAAGTCAGGACAGAGGTAGACAGGCAGGAACCACAGACCAGAGTCCCCAGTGATGCCACCGTGTCAATGCCCCTGCAGAGCCCTGCCCCTCCACCCTGCTTCAGCAGCACATGGCAGACCTACTGCGGGAGGGTCCTGATGTGGCACCCAGCTTCCTCAACAGCGTCCTCAACCAGCTCAACTGGGCCTTCTCTGAGTTCATCGGCATGATCCAGGAGGTGGGTCACAGTGGGTCGTGTGGGCTGTGGTGTTGCAGAGGACCAGGCATGAACTGCAGTGTGTCCAGGCCACTGACTGCCCACCTGCTGGTGGCTCAGATCCAACAGGCTGCCGAGCGCCTAGAGCGGAACTTTGTGGACAGCCGGCAGCTCAAGGTGTGTGCCACCTGCTTTGACCTCTCGGTCAGCCTGCTGCGTGTCTTGGAGATGACCATCACGCTGGTGCCTGAGATATTCCTGGACTGGGCCCGGCCTACCTCTGAGATGCTGCTGCGGCGTCTCGCACAGGTGTGTCCATCTGGGCAGGGAGGGGGGCCCCTGGGGACCCCCCGGTGGTGAGCCCACCCATCCACTCCACCAATGGGCTCCTGCCCTCACAGCTGCTGAACCAGGTGCTGAACCGGGTGACGGCCGAGAGGAACCTGTTTGACCGCGTGGTCACCCTGCGGCTGCCTGGTGAGGACCCAGTGCCCTGAACCCAACATAGCACAAGCCTTGGTTCCTCTGCTAGGAGTTGTGATGCCTGATTGTCCATTCTGCATTGGGACAGGCAGGCTTGGTACCCTCAGCCTTAGGTCGCCCTTCTGCGGGGAGGACAGGGGGGCTCGCACTAGCCAGGAGGCCTGGATCCCTCTCCAGGATCCCTGGATCCCTCCTTTCCCTTCAGGCCTGGAGAGCGTGGACCACTATCCCATTCTGGTGGCTGTGACAGGCATCCTGGTGCGGCTCCTGGTGCATGGCCCGGCGTCGGGGTAAGTGTTAGGCACCAGGGCCCCATGGGAGCTGGCATGGCTGATGGGGAGTGCACCAGGCAGGGTCTCCCTGCCGCCCGCCGTTTCTTCATCTCTAAAAGGGACCTCAGCATCAGGCGTTGAGGCCAGGGGGAGGTCATGAGGTACAAACTGCCTAAACAGGTGGTAGCAGCAGTAGCTCTGAGTAGGAGAATCAGGGACCCCAGCAGAACAGCTGAGCTGCATGGGCATAGCCACTGGCTTGTGGTTATACCTCAGGCATGGGCGGGGTGCTCTCCTGCAGCATCCAGCACAGCACTGCTGGGAAGGGGGGCTGAGCGCACACACTGATACTTGTGTTCACGAAGGCTCTGGTGATGAGCGTGTACCACCTTTATTAAGGAACTCCATGAACAACTGGATCCAGGACTTGTAGGAGCCCCCAGCTCAGCACCCACGCGGGAGGGGTTCCCAGGCCCCCCGCCCCCTTCCCTGCCTCCCTGTGGTGGGTGGTAAGAGCATATGAGACCAGGGCACTGCCTCAGCCATTAGACCAAGATCAGTGCCAGACCTTAAGAGGCTTCTACCCTCGAGGGACAGCAAGTTCCGGCTAGGCCCTCCCATCTTGGCTATGCTCGGGCTTTTTACTGCTAAAAAGCTGGGGGCACAGGCCATGTTGCCCCTTACTGCTGTCTTGTGAGCCCACGGGAGAGGCTGTGCTCTCAGAGTGGTCTGTGGCTGCCCCTGACCAGAGGGAGCAGGGCCACTCTGGCTGATGCTCAGGCCAGGCCCCCTGGGGGTCTCTTGAGGAGCCCCACCTGCTTCCTTTCCTGCCCAGCAGACTACATGGAGTTGTGGAGCTTGAAGTAGGTTGGATGTTGGTGCATGTTTCCTCCTTCCACCCTGGGTGGGGGCCTAGGTCTTCCTTTGGAGCCCTTCTCCTCTTCCCCTGTGGGCCCACTCTCTTCCTGTCCCCTTGGGAAGGGGAAGATGGTTATGCTTCAGTACTTCACCACGGCTTGGTAGCTGCCTCGGCCTCTGAGGTGGTGTACCTAGGGCTCTCAGGCAAGGGCTCTTCCAGATGGCCCCAGTTCCAGTCCTCGTGGGACGTGTGGGCACCAGTAGGTCCTACTAGGGTCTAGGGCCTTTGGGCCCTGTGTTAGAGCAGAGCAGGAGAGAGGGTGGGGAGCCCAGCCCCTCCATTAGTGAGTGGGGCTGCTGTGGTTGAGGTCAAGGCCGTGCAGGAGGCTGGAGGACCAAGCCCAGCGCTCCCACCAGCATCTGGCAGTTGTCAGGGCGGCAGCAGGGAGCAGGGAGAGCAGCGGGTGGCAAGTGGCCTGGCTCTGGGCCCAGGGCAGCCTAGGTCATCACCAGACCCTCAGAGCCTGTGGAGCTAGCAGACTCAGAGCCAGCCTTGAGCCGCAGGCCCACAGGATTGTAGAGATCAAAGTCCTCGGCTACTGCCAGCTGCACACGCCCATTGAGGCCCCTCCTGCCCGGCTCCAGAAAGACCACATGCTTGTGGACACTGGCCTTGCGGCTGGGCACATCCGGTGGTGTGCTGAGCACTGAGGACTGTGCGCTCAGCTCCTGGAGGGGGCTGGGTGCCCGGGGCCAGCGGCGGCAGTGGCAGGTGCGACGGTAGCAGCGGCGGCAGCCTGGGCAGGGTGGCGCAAAAAGGTAGAGCAGCACGAGCACCAGGCCCACAGCACAGCCCAGCAGGGTGGTGAAGCCTGTGTTGAAAGCCTCGGGCTCAGGGTGTGGGAAATGCACGCTCACGTTGTACTCGTGCGTCTGGTTGTGATGCAGGCGGGGCCCGGCTGCCAGGCACACAAAGACCCCCTCGTGCTGCGGCTGCACATTGCTGATGGCCAAGCTGCCATCAGCCAGCACTGCGATGCTGCCATCTCGGGATCCTGGTGCCACCAGCAGCTCGTGCTGTGGTGACACCCAGGCGATGCGCACAGCTGCGGCACTGGTGTTGCAGTGCAGCCTCAGGGACCGGCCCATCTGCACGTGCAGCTGCACTTCGGGCTGCTCTAGGCCCTGAGCCAGGACAGCTGAGCAATTCTCAAAGACACGGCTGTGCTCAAAGAAGCGCACACGGGATGTGGGTACCTTGAAGGCCAGGCACATGTACTCTCGGGCAAAGTCACTCACAGCGCTTAGGCCCCGCTGATGCCAGCGCTGCAGCAGGTGGTAGAGACGGCAGTCACAGGGTAATGGATTGTTGTGCAGGTAAAGGCCGTTCTTAAGAAAGGCTGGCAGTGCAGCCAGGTCAGGTACTGGGATGCGTCCCAGGCGGTTGGAGGAGAGATCCAGAGTACGTAGGTGGGTCGTGCCCAGACCGTGCAGGTGGTCAAAAGAGAAGGAGGAGAGTTCGTTGCAGCCCAGGTAGAGGCGGCTGAGTGCGCCCAGGCCATGGAAAGCGTGCTCATCCAAGTGCGCTAAGCGGTTATTGAACAGAAGCAGCCTCTCGAGCGCCCCCAACCCTTCGAGGTCGTGGCGGCCAAGCGCCCGCAGCGCGTTAGATGATAAATCGAGTAGCCGCAGGCCGCTGGCGTTGGTGAAGACTCCGTGACCTAGCATGTCCAGTTCGTTGTGGCCTAGGCGCAGGGCGCGCAGCCGGGAGAGTGGCGCCAGCCAGCCGGGGCGGAGGCGCTGGAGCGCGTTGTGGCTCAGGTCGAGGTCCGCAGCAGTGGCAGGCAACGCAGCCGGCACGTCCTGCAACCCCAGGCCCGCGCAGCTCAGCAGGTCAGCGGCGCACACACATCTGTAGGGGCAGTTATGGGGTGCAGAGGGCAAAAAGCCCTCTGAGCCCAGACTGCCCACCCCGACGCGCGGCATGCACAGCAGTGCGCCCAGCAGCACCAGCCAGGCCATGGTGGTGACTGCCGGGGGTGGAATGGGGCAGTTCTGTGTGGGGCGCGGCTCCAGGACTCACCCACTTCTGCTGGATGTGGGCTCCACCCCACACGCCAACCGCCCCTGCTTCCCGGGTCCAGGTCGGGACTTGGGGCCGAGCTCCACTCAGCACTCCCTCCTCCGGCTTCCCCAGCTCTCCGGGTGCTTCCCCGATCGGCTTCTAAATACTCTCCTGGAGGAGGGCGGGGCCTCGGCCTCCCATTGGCCCCAGGCCGGAGGGGGTGGGGCACCCACCCCCCAACCTCGACCTAGGTCCCAGGGTGGCCGCCAGAGGGGGCGCGAGTCCGTCTCTGATATCCCAGTCTGTTAGCCTATGGCTTTCCCCGGTGCCTGTCTTCCCGGGAATAGTAGCAGGGAAACCTGGGAGGCACGCCTTTAAGCTGCTAGTGCTATTTATTTGTTTTCTTTGGAGTTAGTGTATATTAGGGGGTAGGTAGGGTTTCAGTATCTGCTAGTCACCCATTTAAACTGGTACAAGGGCTGTATGGTTCTTACTGGGACCCAGGACTGGGCGGGGAGGGTAGGGGGTGTGGCAGTGTGAGCAGCAGGGAGATGAGGTGGGACAGAGGCAATTCAGGTGGGCTGAATTGTCCCCCCCACCCCTCCAATAGGTATCGTTTTCAGATAGGCCCAACCTTCTGACTACCCTTGCACCCTCTCCCACCCAGGACAGAAAGAGCCACGTCAGTGCTCCTGGCTGATCCCTGCTTCCAGCTCCGCTCTATATGCTATCTCCTGGGGCAGCCAGAGCCTCCTGCCCCTGGCACTGTCCTGCCTGCCCCTGACCGGAAGCGCTTCTCCCTACAGAGCTGTGAGTGGGCCAGGGGTGGGTCAGGGAAGAGGGATCCGGGACTGGCCTAGGTGAGGAGTCTCCAGAAGAGCAAATTCCCAAGTTGTGGTATTTAAGAGGCACTGGGTTCTAGGGCCACATTGGGTCTGACAACTGCCACCAACCCCCAGACACAGATTACATCAGCATTGAGGAGCTGGCCCAGGTGGAACAGATGCTGGCACACCTGACTTCTGCGTCGGCCCAGGCAGCAGCTGCCTCCCTGGTGAGTGGGAGCCACTGCACACATGTCCACACCACCCAAACACACGTTAGCACAAATGTGCATACCACACACGTGTGGCATGTGTCCTTGTCTGGGTATCTGACCCCAGCCCACCCTGCACTCTGCTCCCTGCAGCCCACCAGCGAGGAGGATCTCTGCCCCATCTGCTATGCTCACCCCATTTCTGCCGTGTTCCAGCCCTGTGGCCACAAGTCCTGCAAGTAAGTGGGCCCCATTGGTGCAGGGGGCTGGGGAAGCAGCAGGGATACACAGACCCTCCTCCTCCTCCCGTTGTAGAGCCTGCATCAACCAGCATCTGATGAACAACAAGGATTGCTTCTTCTGCAAAGCCACCATCGTGTCTGTAGAGGACTGGGAGAAGGCAGCCAGTACCAGTACCACTTCCTCGGCAGCCTAACCCACACAGCAGCAGCCTCCACCCTTGAACTCAGACCCAGGCTGGGCCCTATTTATGAGCTCCTCTTGCCCTATTCCCCATCCCCCATCCCCGCCATGTCCAACCTCCTTGTCTGAGTGTAACCTCATTGGCGGGAACCCAGCCGTGTCCTAATTGTGCCTGAGCTTGACTTTCAGTCAGGGCCACAGTGAACATTAAATTATTATTCCATACAGCCCTGGCCCGGACCTTCTTGAGGGAGTAGGCTTTGTAGAGGATGCCCAGCAAGGATCCTGCCAGATTATGTCCACAAGAGAGGGCAGGTGTCCAACAGCTTCGGCCTTGTCTAGTCCTCGGAGATAACGGCGAGTCCAGGGCCTTTTGATGTGTCAAGCCAGAGCTCCCCATGCCAGTAGGGAAATGGAGATTCAGCCAGCCCCATGGTATCCCCTCACATGATGATGCGTGGTTCCGGCACCGACTCGCCAATAGACTTGTGGGGCAGCACACTGGCCCCGTTGAGGTAGAGCTCGTCGTTAACTATGACGTCCTCACCCAGCACTGTCACGTTCTCCATGCGTACCTCGAGGGAGGGGGCAGGCCTGGTCAGCAAGGCAGGCACATTCCCTGCCCCTCTCCCCATCTGGCCCAGCCCACAGGCTTACCCACTGGCCCACGCGGCAGCGCCAGCCCACAATGCAGGACTCGAGCCAGGAGTGGGATCGGATGTGGGCATCTCGCAGCACTGTGCATCGCCGGATGCACACACCATCCTCCACTACCACACCAGGACCCAGACTCACGTTGGGGCCGATGCTGCAGTTCTGGCCAATGCGGGCACTTGGGTCCTAAGGACAATGAGGGAAATACAAGTGAATCACTGGTCTCCCGAGATGAAGTCGGGGGGGGGGGGGGGGGGGAGGGGGGGGAGGACGTGGGTTTACGATGGGCTGGGCAGGGGCCTTACCACCAGCACATTGCCCACAATGCCAGGGCCTGAGCACAGTTGCTCAGGCTGCTTCTGTCGCAGGGACTGTAGGAAGAGGCACATGCCAGTGAGAAAATCCTTGGGCTGCCCTATGTCCATCCAGAAGCCTGTTGGGAGGAAATGCATCAGGGGGCTCAGCCCAGCCACACCCCACCCCCAGCCTGTGGCCTCCCTGCCTCACCCTGCAGCTCCATGGCATATAGCTGCCCCTCCGTGGCCATGACAGGAAAGATCTCCTTCTCAATGGATGTAGGTTGCAGCTGTGGGAGTGGGCAACTCGTGAGCAGGGTCAGGGGGGTAGGGGCCTGCCCTGCCCCAGCCCACCAGCAGCTGGCTTCTACACACCTGGATGCGCCGCAGCACTGCAGGGTTCAGAACGTACATGCCTGCGTTGATCTTGTTGGACACAAACACCTGCGGCTTCTCCACGAACCGGTGAATGCGGCCTGTGTCAGCCTCACATACCACCACACCATACTTAGAGGGTTCCTCCACTTTGGTCACCTGAGTAGAGGGGGACCTCAGGCCCAATCCAGTGTGCCTGAGCCTTGATATGCTATGCATACTGTCCTAAATCTCCAGGGCTGTGCCCCAAATGCTTAAAGACACATACTGCACAGCCCTGCACCCACAACACAAGCAGATAGTTAAGGGCCGCAGACTGGAAGAGGCTGGGCATCGGGGCAGGAGTGTCAGAGAAGAAAGACCTGATCCCTTACCAGGATGGAGCCCTCCTGGCCATGGTGCCGGTGGAACTGCACCATGGCTTGGAAGGGGAAATCGCAGATCACATCACTGTTGAGAACGAAGAAAGGATCTGCAGTCTCAGAGAGCAAGTCACGGGCCAGTGCCAAGGGCCCAGCTAGGAGAGAGGTGCAGGTCACCATCTTTCTAGGGGTTTGAACCTTTGGAACCAGGCTCAGCATACCCCATCCACGCTGAGTCTCACCCCTTCTCAGACCCTAAACCCCAAAGGAACCTTCCTGTCTTTACTGACCTGTGCCTAAAGGCTCTTCTTCGTGAGACATGGAGATTCGGATTCCCAGCTGAAAGGGATAAGCCGCCTGTCAGGTTCCTCCCAACAGGATGGGTGGTTGCGCGGAGAGCAAAGAAAAAGGTCAAGAGTCCGAGCCTCACCCTCTGCTCCTGCGCCTTCATTTCCTTCTCCAGCACCTGAGACATGTAGCTCACCGCCAGAATCACGTGGTCTACGCCTGCCTGTTGGACAAAACAGCGCCGGCGGACAGAAGGTCTCAGCCAGAAGGCACGGGCAATCACGATCTAGTCCCTTGTCCTGCCAGGTCCCACCACGACACCGACCCCGGGTCTTACCGCGGCCAGCGCCTCCACTTGGTGCAGCAAGATGGGCTTATTGCAGAAATCCACCAGTGGCTTCGGGATGCTCAGCGTCAGCGGCCGCAGACGCGTCCCATAGCCGCCCACCAAGATCAGTGCCTTCATCGCGCCTGCGGGCGGCCGGAGAGTGAGTCCCAGACTCCGAAGCGTCCGCGGCCCGGCCCGCCCGGCCGAGCCCTGCCGCGAACTCCCGCCGCGGCCCGAGCCCTTCACCTGCCAGACTGACCCACTCTGGCTCTGCCTTGGCCGCCCAGTCCGCCCTGACGCCTACCGGGGACCGCACACAGGAAGAAGCGACGCCAGACGGAGAGCTGCTGGCCCGGAACTCAGGCCGGACCTAGGCGGGGGGGTGACGTTGGCCCGAGCCGGCCAATCGGCTGCCGTATACGTGGCACGGACGCCGACGTCGGAGCGCCGGGGCGCGGCGTTCTGGCAGACGTAGCCAATGAGAGCCCGAGCACGCCGAGCTGCCATGGGGACCGGGACGGGGTCTGCGGGTCAGCTGCCTATTGGCGGATCCAAAGGCGGAACTGGCGCCAAGGGCGAGGCTCTCTCGCCGACGGGTGCCGGGGTCCGCTGCCGCGCGGCCGTTTCCGGCCCCGCCCCGGCGCAGCGGCTCGTGGGACTCGGCGGAGGGACGCGGGGCAACGGGGTTGGACCTGCCTCCCAGGAGCCGCGGGACTGCAAAGACGCGGACACAGCTCAGTTTCTAGCGGCTTTATTTTGACATACACGACCTCAGACACAAGCGGGGCGGGCAGCGCTAGGTGTACAGAAAGGGGCCGCCGGGCCCAAGGCCCGAGCACCCCTCCCCCGCACGCAAGGTCCCAAGGAGACGCAGTGGCCCAGCCGTGGGCGGAGCCGAGAGTGGAAGAGGGTGCAGACCTGGGGCAGCTTGGGCAGGTTTAGGCAGCTTCCAGGAAAGTGGAGCAAAGAACGATTCCGTGCCCCGAGAAGCAAATGAACCACGTCCTTCCCAGGGTGCTCCAATTTTTCTCATTAAACATTTTTTTAAATCAGCACAAACAAAACCAAATTGAACAGCTTTAAAGTTCCAAGCAATCTGCATCTAGGGGGCGTGCACGTGGCCAGATGTGCGCGAGTGAGCAGCGGCTACTGAATTAGCCCAGGGCTTTGGCCCCTGGGGAAACCCCCACACCCACTGCACAGGCCCCAATGTGAGGGGAGGGAGAGGTGGGGTCTCCTGCAAATTGCTACACTGGTCCCCTTCCTCGTTAAGCACCACCGGTCCCACCCCACCCCCCCTAGCCCAGGGGGCTGGTGTTGACTTGGCCCAAGTAAGCACTATAGAGGGGGGTCACTTGAGCGCCCCAACCCATGATCCCGCGTTGTACTTTGGTCCCAAGTTGGGGTTTGGGAAGGCAGGGCCTGGCAGGGACAGGGCTCTCTGGCAAGGACCAGGGAGAGAGTAGAGGCAGAGAGAGAGAGCATGTGTGCACACACAAGC